CAAGGGCTGGGGCGTCAGAATTGCACAAGTGTTTCGCCTCCTTGGTCGTCTTGATCAGACTAGTCGCGGTTGAGGATGGACAGGAAGGTTGGGTCATAGGCGGTCAAAGGAAAGTGTGTGTTGGACATTCTTCTAGTGCCATTGGTGCAAATCGGTTCTCCTTATATCATTTGTAACAGGTATGCCTTATTCCGTATCCGTGTGTTCTACTCTTTTATTGTTGTACACTTGTACTATTATCATTTGCTCTGTGTAGTAGTAAAGTTGTTTTGTATCCGAACATGTTTTACTTAGACTCCTTATCAGAAATTGCACTCACTCACTCAAATCACGGAGAGAGTGCATTCCCTGAGGATCCATGATAGTATGTGTGCACTGGCAATCGAATATTTGGCATTTTGTCCACTGGAACATTGCACATTGATTGCACAACTGTCGAAAAATACGGAACCCAAATACGGAGACCACACACATGGGTGCCACCATGATGTCATAGCATTGTGCGCCCTGGGCGCTGCCCAACGTTACACAGATACTTTGGTCCTCCCCCCTTCGAACTGAGGTACGCAGAGTCTCCAGTCTTGCCTCGTCATGCACGAAGGATCATATACTTGCGCTAACTAGTACTCTGTAGTTTGCACTCCCTTCAAACTCCTGTCATCAGGTGCTCTAACAAAATGATCATTATTCCTGTCCAACCCAGTAAGACGTCAACCAGTCGATGAAAGGATCAAAAGACTAATTATATAATTGCCTGGCCGTAGCACAAGTGTCCGCCTGTTTGTCCATCTTGTGCTCCTGATCTCGTCAATCCAAGCCCAGTCTCTTTCCGATACTCCTTCCTTTCAGCTCCGGGATATTCCTTTTGAATGTTCCAATCCGACATATGGGAGTTGCACCTTCTATGCTGATTGTCTCGAGAGTCGTTACCATTGTGGTCAATCGGGCTACCCGATTGGATATGGCCAACACTACTGTGAAGCCTTCACGGCGGCAGGGTCAAAGTTTAGTTTGCAGGGACAGGAGTGGTTGGCACACACCATGCATTGCCTACAGGCCGCACTGGTGCCTGAAGCGACAGGTGAAGATGAGGCAACATGCAACGCGCTAGCCGACAAGGCTTTCGCAACCCATGCAGCTTGCTATGTCAACAATGGTTTGTGTGAACTGTTCCCAACGGATTGGGCAGAGATCGTGACCATTGTAGGGTGGACACTCTTCAAGAGCTGGGATGCGACTAAGAGCACTTTCCAGGCGGCGGGAAATTGTGCAGCCCTCGCGGCGTGGATCCTACTCTGCACCACGCTAAATAACCGGAATTTATGTCCCAGTGGGTTCGATTGACATGTGGCTGAATTGTAGCATTGCATGATTTGCTTGGAGGCTTGAAACCAGGCTAATTGCAATATGATCTTATTGCTCTCGGAATTGGAAAGCACGTCGATGGACGTCAAATCTTGGTCGAACTAGTCGCCGTTGAAGATGAACACGCTACGAGTGCCCTTCAACAAGTATGCCTTACCCCGTATTATTTAATTTCGACTGTTTTCAGTTCTTTACGCACTTCTGTTATCGATTGCCTTGCTCTGTATTTCTGTATCACATGTACTTGAACTTCCCAGACTACTATGTCAGAATTTGCGACTTTTGATTTTTTTGTCTTCTTTCTTTGACCGCACCCATTGCACCCATAGCGGGTAGAATGTATATATGACTGGTGTGCGATAAGACTACCAAGAA